CAGACCCGATCCAGACGATGTGGGGAGGGGGGTCCGCGGTGAGAGTGAAAGTAACGTGAGCAGGGCGGGGCGCGGCAGCGCGGCCAGGACTGGCGCGGCGCGGCTCGACCCAGACCCTCCTTGGCCCTCCCCGGCCCGGGTGCTACGTCTTTCCTCCTTCCGCGCAGCACCATGGCACGCCGTGCTACGCCCCGCCACGCCCCGGGCCTTACCTTGAATGCGGTCCTACCGCCGCTGCCGCCTCCAGGATAACCAGCAGACAGGGACACCATGACGTCACGTGACTTCAGAGAAAGGGCTCCCCCCTACTCCCTCTTCCCTTTCCTGATGCCTTCTAGTTGTAACCTCGCGACGACCAGGAGCGCAGTCGTCTCCACGGCCCGCGAGCATGGCCACGATCAGGAGCCTCGAGCCTTTTGTTTGCGAATAAATACCCGTCGTTCGTGTTCCTTTGTCAACACGCGGGGCCATTGGGAGGTGCGGCAATCGAGAGAGAATGTCCAGCACTACATCCGCGCCCCCCTCGGTCCTCCACAGCCAATAATTGCTTTCATGCCTTTATTCTTCAAATAACAGTGCATGACCTTCCGACGCTTCGAAGATCATAAACGAATACAAATTTCAAATAACAGTGGGTGCGGCAACCATCGCCACCTACAGAAGTGTGCGGCAGATACAAAACGAAGTGGAAATGTGTATGTGGAAGAACACAACGAACACATCTCGTTCGAACTACACTGTAAAAAATACTTGTTGAAAAACAACTCACGTTGTTCTACGACTACACGGAGTCAGTGAAAAAATTAGCAGGGATTTGATGTTTAGATGTTATTTTTTCCCGTGTATGTACTCACATGGAGCCCTTGAGGACGGACATATCCAGGTTCTCCAGGACGTTGAGCGGCCGTCGGCGGCTCCCGTAGGCTTTGCAGGCGCCGCGCACGCACACGGCGTAGGAGCCCGTGCTCGCCTCCATTTCTAGGAAAACAAAAAACAAACCAAACCATTAGTTCAAAGGCTGCATTTGGCTTCGAAACTAAAGAAAATTAAAGTGCACACTAAATTGTTGTGGACTTTTTTATACGCAGCTTATGAAAAAATTTTAAACCTGCACTTCTTCCGTAATTTTTAATACGCAATTATGGACAAACATTACGCAAATACGAGCAATTTGTTCATAATTACGTATTTAAAAGTACGCAAGAGAAGGAGGTGGGCACTTTTTGTACGCGAGCATACGGTACACATGGCGCATGACGTACCGGTTCCCTTAGCGTGTACTTTGTTTGAGTGCGCGAAGAATTTGCGAGAACATGTCACAAAGCTGCGGTATTTATCTGGCAGTAATAAAGATCAAATACTGTATTGTCAACAAGGAAACATTTACACTCTTTCTAGCGCGCGAGTGCTGAAAGACAAGAGTGAACATGCCCCGACAGCGACTTGAGCAGTGTCTGGTCTAAGTAAAGTTGGTTTCGATCCAATTATCTTTTCTCAGATATCCTTTACCCAATGGAAGAGAAAGTGCAATCATTAATTTACGACAGCTCACGCACAGGAGACTGCGCAAGGCCTTACACCGCCAAGGCGCACGAGGAAGAAGTCGTATAGGCAGACCCGTCTGACAAGGCTGAGAGCGGGTTGCCTACCCAAGTTTCCTCAGGCGCTCAGCTCTCGCACATTTTCATAATTTTAAGTCACTACGCTGTAAAAAACGTATGGATACTACGGAGCTGTTCGAGGACACTGCGTCATGGAATAGCAGCTCCCGGCACTTGTATAAACCAGACACGAAGTGTTCTACACAAAGAACTGTTGTTCACTTGTTGAACACTTAAAAGTGTTCAAAATCAGTGTTGGACATGAAGCTTTGGACACATTAAAATGTTCAAAGTTACTGTTGAACACTTCGAAGTAGTCTATTCAAATGTCCTGTCAAACACTTAAAAGTGTGGCAACATAGTGTTGAGCACTTGCATATGCACGCCAGTTGAACACTTGTTTTAATGCAGTTTTAACTGTGATACTGTACGGACACTTGAGTTTCCAGAACATTTATCACGGCCAATTTCTCAGTAAGGAAAAGTAAGTATATAAAATGAACCCCTCCCTCCC